TTTTTTTTTTCAGCTACTTGGAAAACGAACACATGCGCCACTGTGTTCCCAGCAATATTTCCAGCGGTCTTTTCAACCGTCCATTGAAGTATATCTACACTGACGGCAAACCCAACATGTCACAGCCGACTGTACAGAACCTGAGTACAGGGGAGATCCTCAGGGGACCCCAGACGTATGCCAGTATTTTGTCCTATTTCACCACTACTGACATGACCCCTGAAGAGGTTTACAAAAAAGGATGGGAAATGGTGAACGAGACATACCCTCAGGTACTTACATGTAGACTGCGCTGCCAGTTGAGAAATTAGAGATTTAAGCAAACTGCGACGGTAACGGCGACGAGAACGCCACTAAAAAAGGTTTACTGAGTAGAACAATGGCTGTGCACGTGCGTTATAAATCTTTGTACATTTCTTTGCTGTCCTCTGCAAAACAACAACGTGAAACGACTAAGTTCTGCGTATTTTGGAGAACGCGAACAAAGGTGGCTAATTTTCATATTTTCATTTGGAATTTATTGAACGCTGGCGTTTCATATTTAGCTTGAGCAAGTTCTGACACCAATAGACGCTCTTAACAGATCGAGACAATGGCGAAATTCGAAGGTAAAATATAAATTCATTTTGTTACGGGCGTTGTCCTCGGGTTCGCCGTCGTCATTGCTTAAGTTCTCAAAGTACCTGACTACTAAGGTGCATCCGTTTATTCCAAATGGCAACGATATGAAGAGAATCTTTGAAAATCCTCCATAGAGATCATACCACTTTGAATTGCTTCATATTGGGGGAACCGAGAAATAAACTTGTTTAGACTTTTGAGATGTTTGACACGTTCAGACAACTTTTCTTGCAAAATGTATCGGAACTTTGCAGAGAACTGGTCGCATATTACATGTATCGGGTACAAATATTTTATTTGGGGGCGCAATTCACGACTCATATTATTAAACATATCGCCATTATAATTCCAGTGTTGTTTGTTACTTTTTTCACACAGATACTTTCATTGGCGAAAAGGATAACAGGAAAACAAGAAACCAAAGCCGCAGTGAAGGAATTCAAAACCAACATTACATCTCAGGACATGTACTTCAACAAAGATCCGTTACCAGCTAACGAGACAGGCGAACAGGCATTCAAACTATGCAATTCAGTAGCAGGCGCCATGAGGTTTTGTCCGAAAAGATGGGAAACCTTACAGAAGTGGTTCAAGGCCTCTAGGGAGGTAATTTATGCGTGAGCCAACCTTTTTTGTCTTTTGTTTCTTTTTGTTTGACAAAACACAAAATTGCTTGCATTACTTACAATACAGTGTCTCTTACACAACTGACATTACAACACTCTACAAACCTCCTGTAGCTAGGGTTGACGTGTAATAACCATACATAAGTACAAGTGACTTGCCGGACGCGGATTACCCAGTTTTAGCGCCGGATCAATAACTTGGACACAAAACATTCCTCACACTTTTCACTTTTTACAGTCTGAGATGGTTTCTGGAATTAAACATTTCTTTTCGTGAATATTTGAAGCCGTCTGTAGCGAGAAAAGTTGCCCCACTTCAACGCCTTTTCCGTCAACATATATTTCACATCTGGACAGTACAGTTCAGTTGCCGCCTGCTGAATCCTGACTGGTCAATTGATATTTTATGCGCACTGACCGTATGCAAGGAGACTAGTACCTTGCCAGGAGGGTCTCAGATTTCTCAAACTGGGAGGTTCGCTGAATTTTCCATCTTGTAGTTCTTAACTGTCGCCTTATGGTTTTTGTAGGCCATGAGTTTCCTCGAACCAAAGACAGTAAACATGTTTTACTTCACGGGTAAGCAGCAAACCACACCCAGCTGTCCAGTGCAACTCTCGCCTGATTTCAATCCATCCTCTGCTTCTCAAAGTTATGTCAGTGGTAATGCAGCTTGCTCTCAAAACTGCAGGTAAGGACCTCAGTGATTGTGTGGAGAGAGGCTCGGGGGGGAATTATGAAATTAGGAAAGTGTCAGTTGATGTGCTGTTTTAGAACCGGTACCTCTTAGGGTTGAAAAATCATTTCAAGTCACGCGCACACGATAGGATCTTGGTTCCTCTTGGGGTTCTCTTCAAAGTTTCCGAAGAGCCCCCCGTCCATTTTATACGGGAGTTCCCCTCCGGGGGAGAGAGGCTTTCGTTAAGCAGTAATCACAGGCTAGTTGGCGTTGTCCAATACAGTGGTGAAGTGCTCGAAGCTACGATTCTCTTTCATAATAGCTGTCTTCTTTGTATTTTGTGTAGATATTACATTCCATTTTTTCTCGAAAACATGGGTCCAATCTTCAGTGAATGGAGTGTCAACGCTCACGAGGCGAGGCCTGGGCACCATACACAGGCAAGTTTATGAGTTCTGAACAGGTTTAGGGAGATCTCCAGATAATCGATCACTTAAGGAGCTAAGTCACGGTATTTTTAGTTATTTCAGTCACGTACAAAATTTCCTTTAAATTGAAGAAAACCTGAAAATAATAGTTTACTAATTAAGATAAGAAAGCACTTACGAGATAGTAATAAACGATAAAGGAACAAAGATGGTTAAGGATGGAGAAGGTTAACACGGATTACAAACGACGAACTTGAATAATCTAGGCTAAACTTGTCAAAATATGCAGACCGTGACCCAACCCCCTTTAAACGAATTAAAATCAATGAACGTTACCTCCAAAACATTATCCGTTCATATGAGGGGACACTTCATTATAATTTTAGCCATTTTAGCAGATAAAAAAACAAACAAACAAACAAAGAAAAATTACTCACAAATGTGGTAACTCGCATAGAAGTCGAATTCATGAAACAAAAAACTATTTTATCATCTTAGATTTGATTTTTGTAACTAAACACATTTTTTCCTGCCTGTTTCAGGCACAAGGTTTTGTTGAACACTTTATGGACAAATGTGGCGGAGTAATCAGTTGGATTAACCAGGTCACCCAGTCGATAGCTTTTGCGGAGGGCTGGGGACTATACGCCGAATTGCTTATTGCTGAAGACACTGATTCCTACGACGATCAATTGTGGCAAAAATACGGGGCACTGAAATGGAGGGTAGGTTAATAAGTTTTGGATATATAAGTTTGTATTCCACGGTTCTGGGCCCACGTGTTCGAAAAAAGCACCAAAACAAAAACAAAAATTTACTGTTTAAAGACCGACCACTCACTGCATATCATTTACATAATCTGCACATCACCAACAACTCGAAACTTTCTATCGCAATTCACGAGTTAAAAAAGAAAATTATAGCTCGTAGTGTATAATTGAATTCATTTTCTTTTCTTTAGCTGTGGCGCGCACTTCGTCTGATCCTCGACTCAGGCCTCCACAGCAAGGGCATGACCAGACAGGAAGGACTGGATCTACTGGCTAAATACGCCTGGGACACTTCAGATGTTGCGCGTAAAGAGATGACTCGGTACCAGTCCGGCCCGGGTCAAGCAAGCGCGTACATGATTGGTCAGCTGACAATTCAAAAGTTGAGAGATGATGCCGAAGACACATTAAAGGAGAGTTTTGATTTGAAAGAGTTTCATTACCAGGTGAAACGCGCGCGTTTTAGTTGTCAGGTCAAAGCCAGTAACTAATTGGGCCGAGGCCATGTACAATTCAGGGAGTAATCGAGAGAGTAATTGCAAAATCAGACGAGCGCGTAGCGCGGGGCCGATTTGAAATAACTGGTGCCATTACTCCCTGAATTGTACTCCACTCGGTCCAATTACTAATTAATTGTATCAATAACAAAATTTCGAAATTAAAAAAAAGTCTTTTGAGAACTTCTTTCAAGCGAAAAAGTGAGTAGCCATTAATATAAAGCGCGCGTGACGTGGAACTGACGTGTGAATGGCGAGGGCATCCAATTATCTTATTGGGCCAACTTGTTGTAATTGTGATCGCAAGCCGATTATAAACAATTATTGGATGAGGTTGTTTTTGATATCCAGAATAATCAAGGTCGAGGTAGGAGTTATTAGCCGAAGCCGAAGGCTGAGTCTGATTACCCTTACCGATATCTTGATTACTCTGGATACCACAAAAACCGAATCTAATAATTGTTTTATTATACATTGAACGAAATGTTTTTGCTTCTTCACTGACGGCAAGCAACACAAAACGCG